CCTTAATAATGGGAAAGCATTTGGCATCGACCTAATTCCGAATGAGTTTTTGGCTCACACAGTGAGCCTATGGGATCGACCAGGCGTCCGTCCGTTGGTCTGTCCGTCCGTCCGTCAACATTGGCCGCACAGATTAAAACTGCTATTCGGATTTAGTCATATCCACATTAATTCTATGCACATCCATAATGCCTATTTGACCTATCATCGCCATTTCCCAAGGTCGCCCGGTAACCAAGAAATTGCTGATTTTGACGTCAAAAAGTCAAATTTTCTGTAAATACTAGACACTTTGTTGAAGTAGAACTTTCAAATAACTTGTAGTAGTTGCTGTTAATATGCAACTTATATTCTCTGAAGATTTCAAAGCTCTTGGAATTTCTTGCAATGAATTACATCATTACTAGATTTAAGCATTCCCTACATATTGCTCAATATATGTCAGCATCAAAGTTTTACCATTTTTGAGATATTAACCGTCAAAATAAAAACAGTAAAATTAAGTTTCAACTTCCTTCAATTTGACCAAATTTTTTTGAAAATCATTTACATCTACATCTAAGTTGCCAGGAGTTCAAATCTGACATTTGTTTTAGGATTCGACCTTTACTTGACCTTCGGTGCCCTTCGAAAGGTAAAAAAGTTGATTTTTCAAATTGATTTTTGGATGTAAATTTTGGTCAGCTTAATCACAAAAGAGCTTACTGAGCTCTGAATAAGTAAAATTTTCAAGGTCAAAGGTGATCAAACCAGGTCACATATCTGTGCTATCTTAGTTTCTCAAAGTTCGAGACTACAGATCCAAATCAATATTTTTGTTTGAAAAATGGAGGACTGGTACTTTTGGACTCTTTGCACAATATTTTTATGAAAGTCAAAATTTAGTAGTATACAAAGTGTTTACATCCTTGCTATCTTTGTGGGCTAAGAAAATCTCAAAATAAAAATACCCGGCTTGGTTTCTTGGACGTGACAAAGGAAAGAAGGACGTTATTAACAGAGATCAGGTATTTGTTAAATTATGGGATATTGGAGTTCAAGGTAAATGTTGGAGACTCCTCCGTGAAACATATAACGGAGTGCACAACAAAGTCGTATTTTGTAATTTTTCTAGTGAGTGTTATGATAATGAAGCAGGTCTTTAGCAAGGTTGCAGTTTATCCCCAATAATATTTTCCATAATTTTGACTGACCTCATTAAAATACTTGACTTGTCCTTACTGCTGACTCAGAGTTACATTGCAGGAAATGTTAAATACAGCAAATGAGATTGATACATGCTTGGGCTTTAAATTCGAAATCCAAGGTAATGGTTATACGTCAGCGATGTTATCAAAAGAAATACTGGGAATGACATGTAGGTGACCTTAATATTTTTGAAGTAAAGCAATATAAATATCTAGGTGTTTACATCGACTGAGCTTTAAGAGACGTATTAGAAATACGACCAGTAGTACTCTTACTAAACATTGTAATTTTAATCGTGTGAATTTTGGAAATGCCATGTACAATGTCGTGTTTCGGTCATGCATGTGGAGTGTTTGTTCTAAATGAGTCGTCTTCCAAAGCATTCTTCTCAATGCAGTATAATATGGGTAGAGACATCCTTCAACTTAAGTGTAACCCAGCAAGGGAAGCACTGTTGGGTGATTTTGGGTGGAGACCCATTTTAAGCTTGATTGATAAAAGACAGATTGATTATTATCCCTACTTAAAGTATGATATGCCACAGGGTCTGCGCAAAGACATCTTTAGTGATTTATCTGACCTCTATCATAACACTAATGAAATCCCATGGAAATTGTCTCAATATTCAGTCAACCTTCATAAAGGCCCGGTCACACCGCCTAAACGTTGCTGGAGAGTTCCTTGAACGTTGAAAAAAATCATCAACGCTCGTAAACGTTCACCACCGTTTAACAAAAGTTGGCATCCGTTAAAGCAACGCTGTAAACGCTCGGCCAACGCGGATGTTTCTCGAGTGGCCATCCTAACGCTCCAAAAGTTTTGAGCTGCTCAAAATATTGCGAGCGTTGAAAAAGGGACAATTTTACGCCCTGGCAAAGTTTATCACCGCTCCACCAACGCCCAGTCAAAGTTTGGCACCGCTAGACGCAAGTTCGTGGACGCTTGAATCCGCTAGACCAACGCAGAAATCTTAAACGCTGGACCACCGCTGCTACGCCAGCGTTGCCCGGGCGGCGATTAAACGTTGCACAAACGTCGGTGGAGCGGTTGTTAGCGTTTTATCAGCGTACATGGGGTTGTTGGAACGGTGTCGGACGTTGTCGCAGCGTTCCATGGCGGCGATGAACTTTGCTTTGGCGTTGGAATAGAGGTGTCGGAGCGGGACCAGAATTTGGCTATAAATACGTGGAGAAATGCACCACTGTGTAGAACACTGTGGAGACACTTGTGCATTTTACATTTGATATATATTCATGTCTGGCATTTCAATTTTTTGTATTGTAAATTTCTAAATCAAGCGCTCGAAGTTTGTGATTTTGGATTTTAAAAAGGTGAATTATGCGGTTTTTTTTTCATTAAATGTTAATACAAATAGACTTTTACTGAGACCTTTATTCAAATAAAGTATATACCTAGTGTTTTCACGTCAAGCAATTCAATAAATTATCTGTGAATTTTCTGCGCAGCTTGTAAAATGTTGCACTCGTCATGGTATTATACAAAAAGTTGATGCGCGCATAGCAATGCAAAAATTTGTCATGCGTCATGATGATTACTTTGCTGTAAATGTTATTTGACATTGTTAAAGCAATTTGAACGTAAATCGGTTCCAAGTAATGAAAATGCAACGATTAAATTGTGATATGTTTGTTTGAAATGATATGAGAGTTTATTAAAGAAAATTGTAATGTTATTCATTCTTAATGTCATATTACATTAATAGAAGCACTTTAGATTTAAAACATTTGTTCTTTAATCCCTGAAGGACTTTTGTTAAAGTTACAAATTCCAATAAAGGTCTTTACTCTAAAAACACTTCCCACTTGAAATAATTTCCCAGTAGTCAAACGCGATATGCTGCTAAACCAACGCTGCTGCTATTTATACCCCCGCCGAGGCAACGCTCTCATGCGCAGAACGCCGCTATACCAACGCTCGCATTACCGCTAAACAAACGCTAGCTACCGCTCGCAACCGCTTAACCAACGCTAAAGCAACGCCGGCTTCAGCGGTGCACCGCTAAGCCAACGCCCGTGTTTTTGTTTTTTCCCCATTTTGTGCGCGTTGACGAGCGTTGATGAATTTTTTCAACGTTCAAGGAACGCTCCAGCAACGTCCGGGTGGTGTGACCGGGCCTTAACAACGTCTTGAATGCAATAAGTGAGAAATCATCTTTGACCACCTATAATGACCTTCAGCCTTGTGCACCTTGTCAGGGAGAGTTACTTGTGTTACACGTCTGACTTTTACGGCCATAAGATAAAATCTAAGGCTCGTAGTGGCTGTTTTAGCACGAATGTTGATTTGAGTAGACAGGGCAAATGCAAAGATATATGTACATTATGTGATTTTAATTACCGCGATACAATTGAACATAGACTGTTTGAATGTCAAGCCGACCACTTTATTAGTCATGAACTTATGCTTGACATTGTAAATGCTTGAAATAGTGAAATGTTCTCAAATGTCCTGCAATTGTCACTGCAGGAAAAAAAACAAATGGGTACTGGGTTCATGTTACACATATATTTGGTGTCGCGGCCTAGAAAATTTGATGCCTGGTCAAAGCGATTTTTACTCAAATTATATATTGCTATTAAAGTAAGACTGTATGACAGGGAATCACTTTTTAATATGCATGTATATTTTAATATGTATGTTTCACGACATAGTCTAGAATATTTTCAAATAAAAGTCTCTAGAAAGAGAGAGTTCTTACATTTTGGCGAGCACCATAGAGACCTGTATCTAGAACTAGTTCTATCAATACAACCAGTGTTGAACAGGTATATCATTGTAATTTCAAACAATTGTAACTTGAATAATAATGAATATTCTCGGATCATGAACATAGGTGTATCTTTTAGATCCAATCATTATCTTCAAGAAATTTATAAAAAATGATATGGAAGGGACAATGAACCAATCAACATACTTTTTCAAAAATGTTGACTTAATTTTCACCAAAAATGCAACCTTTTATTATATTGTTGAATGCATAATTAGAATGTGCTTTGAGACGTGCTCTTTTTCGTAAGAGGAAAAGTGGATTGCTACAGGGACTTTAAAGATACTGGAGAATTAACATGGGGAACACTTATCTTAAGCAATTACGTCTTTCTTTCAAGAAATATTTGATACATTAAAATAAAGAATAGTTATGCGTTAAACAATGTAAAAATTGATTGCATTTTTTGTAAAAATGAAGTCAACATCTTTGAAAATGTGATGATGGTTTGATTGCTAGTTACATGTGAATATATCCGAGTTTGTTTGACTTTATTATTACTGTATATAATTTTCTTTGACATAATGAATTGATCTTAAAGATAAACCTGTCTTCATTGTCAGAAAATAGTCATAATCCAAACAAGTTATAACCGTTTGAAATTGTTTGCGATATTCTATGTGCTCCTATACATAGACGCTGGTCTCCGTAAAGTCATTGTAAAGAGACTTCCGATATTCCGTTTTAATGCAAATAAAAGAAACGCTTATCATTTCGAATCCTTGGTGCGATTTTTTCGTACTGTTGTATCAATCGCTTTAAAGTAAGTAATCATTCAAAACTAAGAAGGTTTGATAATGAAACTTTGTTTATCTCAAATTAATACATATACATAGAATAGGCAAAACGAATAATGATTCGACATCCTGGATTTTAAATTTCAACAAGTCGATCATCTAACATTTCTCAGGAAAGCAAAGCCACGTTACTACACAAACAAATCATTATAACAAATACATGTTAAAAATATTTTTACCATAACAAGGCCTAAGAGGTTGGTCGCAATTTTCGTATCCAGTTTCACTAGAGTCACCGGGGCATGTCGGTGGTCCGTTCGGAACCGTTAGTTTTCTTCGCACTCTACTTTTATATTTCTTCCCAGGTCCGCATGTTGTTGAACATTTTCCATTTTGCCAAGGACCCCATCCACTCCATGCACAACCTATAGTAACAATGTTCCATTCTACTTTGTTATCATCAAGAAGAAGTCCAATGTGCTACAAGTGGCTTATCCAAAATGTAATTTAAAGACTTCAAGCAGATCGCGCTGATGAATTATATAGAATGTGCAGTTTTACTTAAACATGTTTTTCTTACCAAAACAAGGTGGTTGATCACAGATCATGGATTCAGTCTCACTAGAATCACCTAGGCATGTCGGTGGTCCGTTCGGAACCGTGAGTTTTCTTCGCACTCTACTTTTATATTTCTTCCCAGGGCCGCATGTTGTTGAACATTTTCCATTTTGCCAAGGCCCCCAGCCACTCCATACACAACCTAATGTTATTATGTTTCAACATATTTGCAATCTTCCAGATGTGGAACAATGGGTTACATGGGGCTACATTCTAGATTTAATTCAGAGGCAGAAGAAGCAAGTAGCTCTCATAGTTGTTTGATACTGGTTATTATTACATAATCTATTAGAATTGTGCCCATCGTTATAAGATGTCCAATTTGTTACAGTTAAACATCATCATTTCTATACCGAATTGCGGGTTTCTAAACTGAACTGTGGTAATACTATTTATGTTACGCCATCCGAACTTTTAGAAAATAACCAAAGACAAATGTTCAAATATATGATTTGACAGTACAAACTCTCATCTTTGACAAACACCCCCCCCCCATCCTGATTCAGAGCAACAAGTAACACATATATAACTTTAAGCAGATTATAAAGAAAACTTTAAATGAGCAGTTTCACATAAATAAACTTTAGTTCTCACCATAACAAGGAGGTTGGTCGCAATTTACGTATTCTGTCTCAACTGATTCACCGGGGCATGTCGGTGGTCCGTTCGGAACCGTGAGTTTTCTTCGCACCCTATTCTTATATTTCTTCCCAGGTCCGCATGTTGTCGAACATTTTCCATTTTGCCAAGGACCCCATCCACTCCATGCACAACCTATAGTAACAATGTTCCATTCTACTTTGTTATCATCAAGAAGAAGTCCAATGTGCTACAAGTGGCTTATCCAAAATGTAATTTAAAGCCTTCAAGCAGATCGCGCTGGTGAATTAGAATTTGCAGTTTTACTTAAACATGTTTTTCTTACCAAAACAAGGTGGTTGATCACAGATCATGGATTCAGTCTCACTAGAATCACCGGGGCATGTCGGTGGTCCGTACGGAACCGTGAGTTTTCTTCGCACCCTATTCTTATATTTCTTCCCAGGTCCGCATGTTGTCGAACATTTTCCATTTTGCCAAGGACCCCATCCACTCCATGCACAACCTATAGTAACAATGTTCCATTCTACTTTGTTATCATCAAGAAGAAGTCAGATGTGCTACAAGTGGCTTATCCAAAATGTAATTTAAAGCCTTCAAGCAGATCGCGCTGGTGAATTAGAATTTGCAGTTTTACTTAAACATGTTTTTCTTACCAAAACAAGGTGGTTGATCACAGATCATGGATTCAGTCTCACTAGAATCACCGGGGCATGTCGGTGGTCCGTTCGGAACCGTGAGTTTTCTTCGCACCCTATTCTTATATTTCTTCCCAGGTCCGCATGTTGTCGAACATTTTCCATTTTGCCAAGGACCCCATCCACTCCATGCACAACCTATAGTAACAATGTTCCATTCTACTTTGCTATCATCAAGAAGAAGTCCAATGTGCTACAAGTGGCTTATCCAAAATGTAATTTAAAGCCTTCAAGCAGATCGCGCTGGTGAATTAGAATTTGCAGTTTTACTTAAACATGTTTTTCTTACCAAAACAAGGTGGCTGATCACAGATCATGGATTCAGTCTCACTAGAGTCACCGGGGCATGTCGGTGGTCCGTTCGGAACCGTGAGTTTTCTTCGCACCCTATTCTTATTTTTCTTCCCAGGTCCGCATGTTGTCGAACATTTTCCATTTTGCCAAGGACCCCATCCACTCCATGCACAACCTATGGTAAAAATTTTCCATTCCACTTTGAATCATAAGGAAGTAGTCCAATGGGCTTCAAGTGGCTTATCCAAAATGTAATTTAAAGCCTTCAAGCAGATCGCGCTGGTGAATTAGAATTTGCAGTTTTACTTAAACATGTGTTTCTCACCAAAACAAGGTGGCTGATCACAGATCATGGATTCAGTCTCACTAGAATCACCGGGGCATGTCGGTGGTCCATTCGGAACCGTGAGTTTTCTTCGCACTCTGCTTTTATATTTCTTCCCAGGTCCGCATGTTGTTGAACATTTTCCATTTTGCCAAGGACCCCAGCCGCTCCATAC